AGCCCGAACTCGGCCTTTAAGCGCGCGGGTGTCTTTTGTTGGGCTAATTAGTTGGAACTAGAGGTTGCATCTCGAACCGAAAGAGCCAACATGTTCTGTCCCACCAATTTCCGTTGCTACTGCACGCTGCTGGGGACGCCGCCCACGAAGGCATCCCCAAGTTCGCGCCGAGTCCGTCACATGTGAAACGTGCTGCGTTTGCAGGCTGGCCCGCGCCGAGTCCGCGGCATGTGAAGGGATTGACAGCTCGGCGCCGCGCCGAGCAAGCTATCGTGCCTCCCCTACCCTCTTTATCGGCAGAAGCAGGGGCGCGTGCAAAAGGGCACTTGTTTAAGTTGTTGTATGTTTTTCAAGTTTGTGCCTAGCAGCTCCGCGAAACTACTGCAGCACGCGCCTGTGCAGTCCATCCTGTGTGTTGGGTAATTCGTCATTTTCCCTCCCCGCTCTGAGGTCGCCGACCCTGGGCGGCCGAATGGCGAGAAACTTTGCTCAAACTTGCGCCGCAGGATGTGGAGTGAGAAGATATGGTACGATGCGGGATCGATTACACATGTCTGCGGTAACTGCATATGCAACAAGGGGACGATTTGAGGAGACTCGTGGCCTGTCAAAGGAGGAGGACCATGAGCAGGAGCAACTGCAACAGGCGTGCGTCTAGGCGCGCGTGGCCCTGGCACTGCGTCAAAGAAAAACCGTGGTGACTATAATGATTATGGACGACCGGGGGAGGGGGGGCTGCTTTGGCATTGGCGGTGCGCGCCGCAGGCATCTGGATATCTGGACAAACCGCGGGTGCAGCTGCAGGAAGTTCTTCCTGCCCTCGCACTTCCGCTCGTTCGCCAGCGAGACCTCCCTGCTTGTTTTGCGTGCTCGGTCGCGCCCGTGTTTCATGTTGCCCACAGCCACCTGGCACTCCATCTGAGAAATGGCCCCGGCCATGTGTCTCTGGAAAACTGTGTATGGGTCCTTGTTGGTGAACAGCCCTGGGATCGAGGCGTGCGCCAACTCCAATACTCACTTTTCGCACTCCGCGATCGCCTCTTCCTGCACCATCAAGCGGCGGGCCAACCGCTTCTCGTCGGGCACCACGATCCGCTTGATGCCGCGCTTCTCGCACCTGTCCAGGAAGGCGGCCACGCCCGGCCTGGGCAGGAACAGCGTTGAACCTGGGGAAGCAAAAAAAAATCGACGACAAATTCGGCGTACGATTTTGCAGTACTTCGCCGCGGGGGCGGTGGAAACATGAAGGCGGGGGGGGGTGGGGGGGGCGCTTGCTGTAGCAATTGCGTTGCGTAGCGTCTGGCACGCTAACAAATCCAGGGTTTCGTGCCGATGGGCGACGTTACCTTCGGAAGAGGACGCGACGCGCCGCATTCCTCATCCAATGCCCTTGCGGTGTGTGGGGGCGTTGTGGCCCCGCCGTCCTGGGACGTTCTTCAAGACGAGCGTTTCCTGGGCGGTGGGGGGGTGCCCCTGGCCGCCTTCGTTATCTGTGCCTTCTGCCGCGGCACGCTGGCGCCATCCACGTTCGTCATCGTCGACGCGCGTGTCGTGGCAGCCGCCTTCATCTTGGCAGGCATGGCGCGGGCGCCAGAAAACGAAACAAACATATGTTGCGCGGTGCCCGAACGCCGCAGGCGCGGCAGATAGGAGAGGGAAGGAGGAGCAGGAGCAGGAGCAGGAGCAGGAGGAATACAATTAGGCGGTGGATGGGGATGCGGGGGAAGGGGGGAATGGGGCGAGGAGGGGGGCGAGGAGGAAAACTGGGGGAGGGGGCAGTGAGGAGGAAGGAGGACGCGCGAGGGGGGGCGCGGCCCCCGCCGAGGCTTGAAAACGCTAGAGGGCGGCAGGGGCAACGCCGGCGACGGCGCCGACGAGGGTTGGGGCGGAGACAGAAGGGCGCGCCGGAAGTCGGTCCTGGACCGACTTCCGACGCGGGCCCGCGTCGGAAGTGGGTCCAGGACCGACTTCCGACGCGGGCCCGCGTCGGAAGTGGGTCCAGGACCGACTTCCGACGCGGGCCCGCGCCAGAAGTCAGTCCTGGACCGACTTCTGGCACAGCCCGGCGGCCGGCGCCAGAAGTTGGCCGACGGTCCGTGGGGGCCGTTCGAAGGGGGGGCTCTTGCGCTGGCAGGAGCAAGCGGCAGGTCGGCGGCAGTCGGCGGGAGTAGGCGGGGCCCACCGGCTGAGGGCCCGCCAGAGCTGGCGGAGAGGCGGACGCTCTTGCCAACAGACGTTGGCGGGAGGTCGGCGGCAGCCGGCGGAAGTACGTGCAGCCTGCGGCCGACGGCCCGCAGGAGGCCGCGGAAGTACGTGCAGCCTACGGGCGACGGCCCAGGGGAGGTTCGTGTCGCCCGACAGAAGTCACAAATAGACTGCGGCGGACTGACAGCGGGGGCCGGCGGGGATCCCTGGGAGGCCCGTGGCAACCGGAGGAAGTAAGCGTGGACCACCCAACTGTAGCCATTCGTTGCTTTTTCGGGGCTCAAGCAGCGCGGGGGCAGCTTTTTCTGGACGCGCTATCATGGGCGCGGCACCCCCCCACCGTCCAGGAAACGCTCGTCTTGAAGAACGTCCCAGGACGGCGGGGCCACAACGCCCCCACACACCGCAGGGGCATTGGATGAGGAATGTGGCGCGTCGCGTCCTCTTCCGAAGGTAACATCGCCCATCGGCGCGAAACCCTGGATTTGTTAGCGTGCCAGACGCTACACTACGCAATTGCTACAGCAAGCGCCCCCCCCCCGCCTTCATGTTTCCACCGCCCCCGCGGCGAATAACTGCAAAATCGCACGCCGAATTTGTCGTGGAGTTTTTTTTTTGCTTCCCCAGGTTCAACGCCGTTCCTGTCCAGGCCGGGCGTGGCCGCCTTCGTGGACAGGTGCGAGAAGCGCGGCATCAAGCGGATCGTGGTGCCCGACGAGAAGCGGTTGGCCCGCCGCTTGATGGTGCAGGAAGAGGCGATCGCGGAGTGCGAAAAGCGAGGTTTGGAGTTGGTGCACGCCTCGATCCCGGGGCTGTTCACCAACAAGGACCCATGCACAGTTTTCCAGAGACACATGGCCGGGGCCATTTCTCAGATGGAGTGCCAGGTGGCTGTGGGCAACATGAAACACGGGCGCGACCGAGCACGCAAAACAAGCACGGAGGTCTCGCTGGCGAACGAGCGGAAGTGCGAGGGCAGGAAGAACTTCCTGCAGCTGCACCCGCGGTTTGTCCAGATATCCAGATGCCTGCGGCGCGCACCGCCAATGCCAAAGCAGCTGCCCCCCCCCCCCGGTCGTCCATAATCATTATAGTCACCACGGTTTTTCTTTGACGCAGTGCCAGGGCCACGCGCGCCTAGACGCACGCCTGTTGCAGTTGCTCCTGCTCATGGTCCTCCTCCTTTGACGGGCCACGAATCTCCCCAAATCGCCCCCTTGTTGCATATGCAGTTACCGCAGACGTGTGTAATCGATCCCGCATCGTACCACATCTTCTCACTCCACATCCTGCGGCGCAAGTTTGAGCAAAGTTCCTCGTCATTCGGCCGCCCAGGGCGGCGACCTCAGAGCGGGGGGGAAAATAACGAATTACCCAACACACACAACGATGGACTGCACAGGCGCGTGCTGCAGTAGTTTCGCGGAGCTGCTAGGCACAAACTTGAAAAATACAACAACTTAAACAAGTGCCCTTTTGCACGCGCCCCTGCTTCTGCCGATAAGGAGGGTAGGGGGGGCACGATAGCTTGCTCGGCGCGGCGCCTTGTTGTCAAACCCTTCGCATGCCGCGGACTCGGCGCGGGCCAGCCTGCAAACGCAGCACGTTTCACATGTGACGGACTCGGCGCGAACCTGGGGATGCCTTCGTGGGCGGCGGCCCCAGCAGCGTGCAGTAGCAACGGTAATTGGTGGGACAAAACATGTTGGCTCTTTCGGTTCGAGACGCAACCTCTAGTTCCAACTCGCCCAACAAAATGCACCCGCGCGCTTAAAGGCCGAGCTCGGGCTGCATGTGAAGAGGCACGGAGAAGGCTCAAACGCCCTTGGCTCGCACCGCCTACTGCAGGGCAGAGTGGGAAGGAGGATCAAGCGCCACTTACCCTGGCACCCCTGAGCGAAGGCCGCGTTGCGCGTAATCATACCTTCCAATGGCGGGCGCGCCAAGCTGCTAGTTTGACACCGAAACTATTTGAAACGCGCGCGCGCGGCCACTTTCAAAACCACCATGAAGCATTTTCAAATTCAGCACCGCGCGGCCCGCAAGCGGCCTAGAACCATGAGAAAACCATGTTCATCATTCTTAATCTGATCCCCGACATGCCCGTGACCCTATCCACCGCTCAGGACTGGGCGCAGGAGCTGTGCACCCATTGTGCGGACAACCCCAAGTACTCCCCCGAGGTTGTGGAGGAGGGGGCCCGACTCGGTGATGGCCTAGTCCAGGCGGCGGGAGGCTGGAAGGAAGTAGTCGACTGCTACCGAGAGGCCTGGACGAGCCGGTGGGGGAACAACCTGGACGGGGTCTTCAAGGAGGAGCTATGCGAGCTGCTCGACCCCGACCTCAGGGATTACCTCCACCAGATGGTGAAGGGCGGGGTTCCCGCCCGCCAACCGCTGGCCCAGGTTCGGGTCCCTTCCAAACCGCACATGAGCGTGCAGGGGCACATGGAGGAGGCGATGGAGAAGTTGTGGAAGGACGCCAAGAGGGGGAGGGTCCTCCTCTGCGGAAAGGACTCGGAACCTTACCTAAGCGGGGTCCTCTCCTCCCCCTGGGGAAGGGTGCCGAAGATGAACCCCGACCGCACGATCTCGGAGGAAGGAAGGTTCATCCACGACCAGAGGGCGATGAACGAGACGGGGCACAAGTACCTCCACCCCCCAGCCTTGCAGCCCCGCCATCGGGGACTGGCGAGGGAGATCACCTGGTGGAAGGAGCGGCACCCGGGGGTAAAAATCCGGATCGCCAAGCGGGACATAGCGGAGGCCTTCCGCTGGATCTGGTTACGGGCGGAGGATGCCGGCATGTTCGCCACGGAGCTCCCTGGCAAGGTGGTCGGGATGGAGGGCAACCTGGTGGCCATCTACCTCGTCCTCACCTTCGGGTGGATCGGGAGCCCGGGGGAGTACATGGCCTTCGGGACGGCCCTGAAGCAGTGCCATGACCGCCACCGGCCGGCCGACCCAGGATGGCACGACGACGTGCCCCACCATTCGCGCCTCCTCATGGGCGACGACGTCCTCATCGAGCCCCTCCTGGGACGGCGCCCCTGGATGGCCGCCAGGCTGGCCGAGGAGGGGGCCCGTAGAGTATTCGGGCCTCTTGCGATCAACGCGGAGAAGAAGGACGAGGAGCGAGAGTTCCGCGTGGACCAGATCTGCTGGGGGGTCCACGTGAACACGGAGGAGGAGACCCTGCGGCTCCCCGAGGAGAAGGTCAACAAGATCCGGATCCTGCTGAGTGACCCCGCCTACGACGCGGGGAACGCCCAGGTAGCCCTGAAGGATGTCCAGGTCCTCCGCGGCACCCTCAACTTCGCGGCCATCACCTGCCCCCTCCTCCGCCCCGAGTTGGGGGCGGTAGACCGGCTCCTCCGCACTGCGGGCCCGGCTGGGGTTTGGGTCAAGATCAAGCTTGGATGGCCGACAGAGTTGTTGTAGCTTGTAGTACATATAGTTAACATCATACATACTAATATGTCACATAACATGTAGCTAGCAGAGACTTAACTACACACATATATACACTTATTAGCCAACTTAATAAGTCGAATAAGTCTAGGTGTTTGTTCGGATGTTTGTTTTTTTAAGGGCGCCAGTTTTTTGGGTTGGCGTCGTCTGCTGGTTGGACCTGCGGTTTGCCTGCGTTGTGCGTGTTTTCTGGGCGCGCTTGCTTGATGATCGTTGAGCGTTTGTCAGGTTACGCCAAAAAAACTCCTCCTCCATATGTTCCTGCTCCTCCTCCTCCTCCTCCTCCTCCTCCTCCTCCTCCTCCTCCCTCTTCGGCGGATTACCGCCTTCTTGATCCTCCTCCTCATCCTTCTTCGGCGGATTACCGCCTTCCTCCTCATCATCCCTCTTCGGCGGATTACCGCCTTCTCGATCCTCCTCATCCCTCTTACCGCCTTCTCGATCCTCCTCCTCGTCCCTCTTCGGCGGGTTACCGCCTTCCTCCTCCTCCTCCTCCTCCTCCCTCTTCGGCGGATTACCGCCTTCTTGATCCTCCTCCTCATCCCTCTTCGGCGGATCACCGCCTTCCTTATCTTTGCATGCTGCGGCGGATCAACCGCTTTCTTTCCTCCTGATCCGCATGCTCTCATTCTGCGGATCAGCCGCATTTCCCCTCCCCACCCCTTCCGCGGATCAACCGCGCGCCCCCCATCCTTCGATCTTGCGGATCAGCCGCGTTCTCGGGCGGCTCTACGCCATCTTCTGTCGGCGGGTCACTCGCCTCCTCCCTCTCCCCCCCCCATCCGCAGCCTTTTCCGCCTTTCATCGCAGCCTTTTATCGCAGCCCCTTTTGGCTCGGGCTGCCGCGGGGCGGCGGCGCGTCTCCTGCACGAGAATGGCGCTCCAGCAGGAGCTCCTTCAGCGCGCCGAGGGGGTGGGCCCCTTACTGCGCGCTGCGAGGGACCAGGGCGAAGCCGCGTGGAAGCAGGCGTCGGGTGCACAGGCTGCTCGGCTGGTCGAGCTCGTCGGATTGGTGCGCCCGCAGGGCCAGTTGCTCATTCGTCTCGCGGGTTTGGCGCAGCAAGACGGCTTCGCGCCTGCCGACGCACAGCTGTTGCAGAACGCCTTGGCCACGGCAGCCTCGAGCAGCGGCGGGGCGTGGAAGTCGCAGGACTTCGAGCATTTCCCGTATTTCTTGAGTGGTGAAGTGTGGGCCGTGCTCAGCGACCCCCATGGGGACGTCTTGCACAAGGCTCGGTCTGTTCTGTCGTTTCTCTCGTCGAAGCTGGGCCTCAAGAACCCGTCAGAAGGCACCCTCGCGCACGTGACGGCCCTCGTGACGATCTGCGTAGATGGGGCCCCAGCGGCCCGCAGCATGAGCCCCCACTTCTTGAAAGACACCTTTGACCACATCAAGACGATGTGGAAGGGCATGGTCAAGGCAGAGCCCTTGGAGAAGATGGCCGCGCTCCCAGCTGACCCCGACGCGTTCCGAGCTGCGTTCCCCGCCACGTGGGCCTCTGCGTACGGCGGCGGTGGTCCTGCGAGCATCGGAGTGTCTTTCGTCGATGTCTCCGCGGTGGCTAAATCGTTCAAGTGGCGCGAGAGGCAGCGCGCAGGGTCCGCGTCGCCGGCGCCACTTTTGCAGGCTCTGCAGAATATGATGGGTCAGACGCTGCAGCAGCCTCAGCAAGAGAGGCTCGCGAACGGTGCGGTGTTGACGTTCGCAGGGAAGCAGCCGCGCAGCCTCGCTGGCGTGCAAGCGGCTGCGACGTCGGCCGCAGGGCAGCTCGCGGCAACGGACCTCCCGCAGCAACAGCAGCAGCAGCAGTTGCAGCAGCAGCAGCAGCAAGACAACTACAACCTGCAATTGCAGGTCAAGCAGCTCCAGGAACAGCTGCAACAGCAGCAGCAGCAGCAGCAGCATCAGCCGCCGCAGCCTCAGCCCAGTCAGTTCGCCCTCGAGGACGCCCACTCGGCGGGTGCCTCTGCAGGAGGGGCCCCGCAGGCGAAGAAAGCGAAGAAGGTGGACTCTGTGGAAGCAGCGGCCATGCAGGTACACGCTGCCATGCAGCAGGAGAAGGAGACCAAGGCCAAAGCGAAGGCCAAGGCGAAGCCCGCTGCCACGACATGCGTGCTGAAGAAACCAGCGTCGGCACCTGTTGGCAAGGCGGCGGTGGAGACCAAAATCAGCGTGGAGAACACGCGCAGCCAGTGCGTCGCGCACTACGGGAGGGGCCCTGGCTCGACCAAGGTGTTCAAATGGGGCCCGAACACAGGCTACACGAAGGAGACGTCCAAGAAGGCCGCCAAGCAGTGGATCGAGAATCGGCTGCGCGTCGGCTGAGGGGGTGACGGCTACGCGTAGCTGTCGGCACGACGCGTGCCATATTCAGTGCAGCCATGCCGACGGATGGCCGTCAGTATGAGCACTTTGCCATGACGTGGGTAGTGCTACGGATGGCATCGGCTTTTGGTTTCTTCGCCTGGCGCGCGTTGCGCTCGTGATGAAGCTCGTTCTTCTGTGAACTCGTTGCACCTCTATGCGCGCCACTGCTTTGAAAGAAAAGGCGTTGAAAAAAGTGCGGGTCAACCGCTTTCAGCGGATCATCCGCTACTTACCACGTTGTGCCAGGTCGGGGCATGGAGGTCTGAGCAGGAATATGGAGGGATGGCATGACTAGGAAGGGATGAGACCGAGCAGAAGTTTGCCAGTGAAAAGGGAACCGCCGCTCTGGTCCAGAACCGCCCCCGCTCTGAATCGAAGCCACAGGGGCAGAACGGTGGCGGTTCTAGGCCAGAACGGTAGCGGTTCTGGACCAGAACGGGCAAAAATGGAGGTTCATGCGCGTTCGATGCCGTAGCCGTTTGCGCTCGCAGGGGCGCGCGCGGGCGCGCGCGGCGGGCTCGGCGCGCAGGGCGCCATGGCGGCGCCGAAGAGGTCCGCCTTCGAGGACCTCCAGAGCTTCTTCGAAGAGGCCGACGGTGCGTTCGATCAGATGGACGCCGAGAGGTCGCACGTGATCGGCTGCCTCAGGAAGGTGCTCGAGGACTCTGGCCACGTGGAGGCTGCGGACGTCCGCGACACCCCGCTGGAGGAGCCTGCAGCTGCTGCTTCGAGCTCTGCTGCGTCGGCGACTCTTGAGGTGGAGGTCGATCGCCCCGTTCGCCCTCGAGAGCAGGTCGTCGACGTCGACGCTCTGGAGCGCTCGGTCGACAACGTCCTGCGTGAAGGCGACGCGAACTCCGCGGGCGACGCGCCCATGCCCGACGGCGCGGCGGAACGCGTCCAGCAGCTCATGCTGCGGGATCCAGAGTTCGCGCGGATCGCCTTGCTCATGGTGATGAGTCCGCTCTCCGTGGACTGGAACGACCCCGCCGTCATCAACGTCGAGAAGACGCTGATCTTGGAGTTCCAGTGCCACAAGAAATTCAGGCAGCGGGGTCCCCCTGGCCCATTGCAGGGAGGGCCCACGGAGTGGAGGGGCCAAGCCTGGAGGCAGAACAGCGGTCGGTGGGGCTCCCGCGGCGGCCGCAGCGTGCGGCTTGCCGAGTTCCAGGCGAAGTTCGGCAAGGAGCGAGGCACGGAGGCTTTCCTCGAGGACGAGGACCGACGCCGCAGCTTGCGGCAAGACAGCTTCGTGGCGAAGTTCGGCATGGAGCGAGGCACCCAGGCCTTCCAGGAGGACGAGGCCGCTCGCGCGAGCAAGTCCAAGGCGGTCGCGCGCATGATGTCCGCCCCACCGAAGGCCCACCAGCCGAGGATGGTGCTGCCGACGGTCGACCCTCCGCCCAACAAGGCGCGCCCGACGCCCAAGATGGTCGCGCCCGTGCCGATCGCGCGGCCCGCGGCCAAGGGCAAGAGCAAGGAGGCGGTCTCCAGCAAGGGCACTGCTGGCAAGCACGGCAAGGGCTCCGACGAGGACACGGACAAGGGCTCCGACAAGGGCGTTCGCAAGGGCACGGCCGTCAAGAGCAAGGGCGGCCACAAGGGCGCGGACAAGGGCAAGGACGCGCACGTGGTCAAGAACGTCCTCCAGGCCACGTCCAAGCGCCCCGCGCCTCGGACGCCGTCGCCGCATCGCAGGCCTAAGCGGCGGGCGACCAATTCGCAGGACGCCAGCGGGCGCGGGCCGTTGCCCTTCCTGTGACGCGCGCTATTGTTCTTGGAAAAAATACGCGTACTTCCTCGGCGGCTCATCCGCCATGGCGGTTTATCCGCCTGTGTGTGCACGAGTGTCGCTGCGCGCGCGTCACGCGTGTGCTTCCTCGGCGGCTCACCCGCCATGGCGGTTTACCCGCCTGTGTGTTCGCCACGCACATGCTCTCGCACCGTTTTTTCTGTATAGGCGTTTTGGCTCGAACGCGAAGCGCACGTGGGCCGCCCGTCGCCGCCAGCTTCCGCATCCATGTCGGACGCTGCGTCCTCCTCCGCTGATGTCCAGCCTGCTGCCGCGCACGCTGACGACGGAAGCCCGACGTGGATCATGTGGGGTGGGAAGTGCCCTTTTGGCTCGCAGTGCAGCAAGCGCTCGGCGACCCTCAAGACGTGCCACTCGTACGAGGATGCCGTGGAGTCGATCATCCATCACTTGGTGACGTCGCCCTACCACGAGCTCGAGCGCTCCGAGGCTGAATCGGCCGTCGACTTCAACTTGATCGAGTCCTGGGAGGTCGACAAGAAGAAGTGGGCCGAGGAGCAGGACAGGTGGCAGAAGAAGCAGCGCAAGAGCTTGCCGTGGCAGCCCACCGCGGAGCCCGCCATCAGCGCGCCGCCGACGGGTGCTGGCACGGGTCGCATCACGCTCTCGGAGATGCAGGTGAGGGCCTGCGTCGACTCGCTGAAGCTTGCCAAGGTCTCGGCGGAGAGCGCGGCCAACCTCTGCGCCAAAGCGGCTCGGGCGTTCAACGAGGAGGTCACGTGCATCCAGCAGTGCGTCGAGGTGATCGAGTCGTACGTCCAGCCGACGCGCGTGCTCCCCCTGCGCTAG